TACTAGCCAGGCCCAATGTACAGAAACAGAAGACTATATTTCAAAATTATTGGTCTGAGGTAAATTAGGATTAAAAAAAAAAAATCATTCACCATAGATGTTTGTCAGGGGCTTACTTGGAAATCCTGGAGAACCAGGGCTTGCATGACATCTAAATCTGGAACTGAGGAACCATCTAGGTTATTTACAGGTTTGTAGAAGGCACTGTATCCCAAGGATGGAATCAGGAAATATTTATGATCAAAAAGCTGTGAAAATGGAGTATGCCTGTAGTCCCTGTGGCTCACCGGGCTGAGGCAGGAGGATGGCAAATTCAAAGCCAGTCTCAGCAACTTAGCAAGGCCCTAAGCAACTAATGGAGACCCTGTCTCTAAATAAAATACAAAATAGGGCTGGGGATGTGGCTCAATGGTCAAATGCCCCCAAGGTCAATCCCTGATACCAAAAAAAAAAAAAAAGTGAAAATACAGGACTGTGCAAATAAATAAATGATTATTATTAGGACCCTTTGGGAAAGAGGCATAATGTAATTTTTTCACTCTCTCCTTACCCTGAATGGAGGAGCATTAAAGTTTAATCTCAATGCTTCTCAGTCCTACTAGACCCCATAGTTTTTTATAGTATTTTGTAAATCAACATTATTCTCTTCAAGTGAAAACTACTGATGATATAACCTCTTATATGTAATCTCAAAAAATAATACAATGCCTTGTAATATAAAGAATAAATAAATAGTTGGGCATGGTGGTATATGCCTGTAATCCCAGCCAAATATGGCAAGATGAAGGAGGATTGGAAGTTTTGAGGTCAACCTGGGCAATTTAGTTAGACTTAATTGGAAAATAATTGGTTGCTTGGGTGTTCACATTTAAATTTAAACTTGGAATCAACATGAATGCAACAGTCAAATGCACACTACAAAGGCAGTTATTCAACAATAAAATAGTTTACCTTCAACCTGTATCTTATAAATTTGGGGGGTGGGTACTGGGGATTGAATTCAGCGGCACTCAAACACTGAGCCACATTCCTAGCCCTACTTTGTATTTTATTTAGAGACAAGATCTCACTGTGTTGCTTAGCACATCACTTTTGCTGAGGCTGGTTTTGAACTAGCCATCTTCCCTAACCCTAACCTCCCAAGCCACTGGGATTACAGGTATGTGTGACTGTGCCCGGCTCTCTTACATTTTTTAATATTACCTTTTCTAATAAAACCTTTTTTTAAAAGTCTTATGTTGTGTGAGCGTATGTGAGAGACAGATTTAGGTTCTAGGCTCATTATGAACAGGTTGTTCAGCTGTGTGAATAAGAACCTGTGTGGGACCTGAAAAATTCACATAGGATGTGAAATAAATCTTTGTTATAAGGATTTCTTTGTGTACTGTAGGATATCTAGGGTCCCTGTTCCCCTCCCCCACAAATTATAGTAGTGATTCTCCATCATTTTGATAGCCTAAAAGGTTCTACGTATTTCTGAAAATGTCTTCCCCACTCACCACCACGTGGTCAATACCATTCCCACTGAGAACGACTGGAACTGGAAGCTAGAATAACATAAACAGAATGAAAAACAACAACAACTACTACATAATCTAGAGCAATGTATTGCTTGAATCCTGGTAAATTCTTTTCATAGAAATTGGAATTTTGAATTATATTGGTATTTGATATTACCACTTTTACAAACATCTCATTAGTTTACCTTGAAGAGATGACCTTGGCCTTATTTGCTCAGACTCAAGTGTCCTGTTCCCAGTGGCAAACTTTACCAAGTGTCAGAATTGTGTGATATCTGGATTTTATCAAGTTTTCCAACCTTTTCTTTACTACCTGAGGGTCTGATGGACTCTGACTCAGCATGACTGTGGACTTCAGATCCTTTATATGGTTTTTCTCCCCTGATAGTCTGAGTGTTTTTGAGAAATGTTGACAGGTCCCATAACTGTTCTAGTCATTATTGTGCCACTTCAGTTATTTCACTTCAGATAATGACTCCTGGTCCCCAATCATCTCTAGCCATCAAATAACATTATGCTATAGTGCTTTCCTTATCATGCCAAGCACATCCAAACTTAGTAGGCCACAATGTTTAGCAAAGCTTATTGGAATAATAACTAACTTAAACTGAGAGCTTATTGTAGGCCAAGCACTGTTCCAAACAATTCTGTCTTGGTGATGTTTATGTGACCTAGGTACTATTATTATCTCCCTTTTGCACAACAGGAAATACAGGCGATGTAACTGGAAGCTGGCCAATATCAATTCTGAAGGCCCGTATCCTGTGAAGGAGAAAGGAGAATGAAGGTGACAGAAAAGAGTTGTGAGGCAGGGAAAGGGAGAGTTAAAGAGAAGTAGAGACAAAGGGGCAGAGAGGAGGGGAAATAAGTGAGGAAAGAGTCTATCATAGAAACATGGTATTCAATATCTCGCTACCTCCTTAGCCCCTTAATCTATTTTATTTTATTTTTTTAAGAGGGAGAGAGAATTTTTTTTTAAAGAGAGTGAGAGAGGAGAGAGAGAGAGAGAGAGAGAGAGAATTTTTTTTTAATATTTATTTTTTTTAGTTCTCGGCGAACACAACATCTTTGTTGGTATGTGGTGCTGAGGATCGAACCCGGGTCGCACGCATGCCAGGCGAGCGCGCTACCGCTTGAGCCACATCCCCAGCCCCCTTAATCTAGCTAATACAAATTGCTGTACAATTTATAAAAAGCTAAGAGACACTTTTTTTGGTAAACTTCATAAATTCAGCTAATGGATCACTCTCTGAAATCCATTACAAAACTAGTTTAGAGTTGTGACCTGATTCTAAAGCTGAGTATTTAACTTCTGGGAATAGTATAAATATCAAGAAAGGGGAGTAGGAAAAGAGGAAGAACTGAAAGATGAAATAGAGAAAAGACAAATTCTGAAGGGTCTGATTATAGACTGCTTTTAGTCTCAGTTCTGTGAGATGACAGGGCCTGCCTTCCAGTGCCATCCAAGTGTTTCATGCCATATTCATCCCACTCCTCCAAAGTATTAACAGGAGGGGACACTGATTTCCCCATCACTCACAATCTTAGGTTTACCTGCCACCTACAAGATGTAATACTATATTTATATCTCCAGGTATGTAATTTGCCCACAGTCCTTTTTAATACTAAGGAAGGCATCTTAGTTTCTCATTGTGACTCTTGTCATTCCCAGAAATGTCATCTGGAATCTGATCCTTAAAATTCATTTCCAGGTGGGCAGAATGGCTCGTGACTGTAATCCTAGCTACTTAGGAGGCCAAAGCAGGAGGATCAAAATGTTGAGGCCAGCTTAGGTAAAGTGGTGAGACACTGCCTCAAAATAAAATAAGGGTTGGGCATGTAGCTCACTGATTGATTGTCTACCATGGGTTCAATCTCCAACACAAGGGGGCAGGGGCCTGAGGGAAGAGCAAGTATTCTAGCGAAGAATAGAGAACTCTTGATAGATTTAAAATAATAATCTGTCCACCCCAAACACTGCTTTTCACATTGGACCTTAGGAATAATGTAACTAGGGTGAGAAGCTTTTTCTATACAGGATGAGATGGTAAATATTTTAGGTTTTATGAACCCTTACAATCTGTCATACCTACTCAACACATCATTATGTAATTCCGCCATTTTACTGCCACAGTTTAAAAATAAATGATTATGCCTGTGTTCCAACAAAGCTTTCTGAACACCCAAATATGAATTTCATACAATTTTCAATGTGTCATGAAAAAAAAATTTTTTTTTTTTGCAACCATTTAAAAGCATAAAAACCAGGGGCTAGAGTTGTAGCTCAGCAGTAGAGCGCTTTCCTAGCATGTGCATGGCCCTGGGTTCAATCCTCAGCACCACAAAAAAATAAAGATATCTGTCCAACTACAACTAAAAATATATATATATTTTTAAAAAATGCCTTGCTCTTGGGTCATACAAAAACAACAGTTTGGATTCGCCTCTGTATAGCTTGCCAACCCCCAGTATATATCTGAGGATAAAAACAACTAAAAATTGAAACCTCTCACTGTCAAAATCCAGGCACTTGCTAAGTGATTAAAAGAAGAAAAGTGGGTATCCATAGATGCTAGAAAACTAAATTCTTAAAGCACAGTTTTCTCTGGTCATCTTAGGGGTGTCAACTCACAGAAAGCAAAAAACTATTTTTAGTAAACTGAAATATTTGGAATCTTGATCTCTATCAAGACATCATGTAAGAACATAAATTACCTCTATTGTTGGAGGGGAAAAGAAACGAACGCACGAACTCCTGAAATGCGGAAAAAGGGCAAAGACAATTAAATGTTTTGCCTGAGTTCTAAGACCTTGTCCTACTAGGCAATCCAGGCCCAATTAGAAACAACATTTTAAAACTCAACAAAAGGAAAGAAATCCTCCCTTGTAATACTCAGTAAAAAAGTATTACTCAGTAAATAATGTTTAAAATTAAAATAACAATATATCATTTAGTAATATGTCTGTAAATATCGCCCCCCCCAAAAAAAAAATTAAAAGTGGCTGCTTCTGGGAAGAAGAAACAATAAGTTCAATTGTTTTTCATTATTAGTATAAAATATTTGAAACTATACATATGACTTTAATACAAAATTTTAAAGATTAAATATTTTTTGCATTACTGAAGATTGAACCCTCAGAGGCGTTTTTCCGTCGAGATACTGCCCCCGTCCTTTTTAAATTTTAAAGACAGGGCCTGGCTAAGTTGTCAAGGCTGGCCTAGAACTCGCGAGCCTCCAGCCTCAACCTCCGGAGTCGCTGGATTGTAGGCACGAGCCAAAATGTCCGTCTTAAAGATTAAATTTTAAAATAGAAAAATTAAAGATGTGAGGTGGAACTCCGTTGCTGTGGCAATCCCTGTGGAGCGGCGTCTCTTTGTTCTTCGCAAATTCAAGCTCAAACCGTCCCGCCCCTTCCTCATCCGGAGCGGTAGGCGCAGCAGTGGCGGAGTGCGAGCCGATGCCCCGCCCTCCCACTGAAGAGCTACGTTTCCGGCCGGTGAGGCAACTCTAGGAGATGCTCTGGCGGCGGCAGCGGCTGCAGGCCGTAGCGGTGCGCAGCTGGGCCCCGCCCCCTGCGATAAAGCGTCTTCGTCACTTCCGGCTTCCTTTTCCCTGCTGGCTGCCGGGCGCGTGAGGGATTTGCTTGTGTGCCGAACTCCTCGGAACCATGGTGAGCCTGGCCTCCTGCTCTCTACCTCCTACCCCTGTCCCAGCCCCGCCGTGCCCCGCAACACCGCTGCTCCCTCCGTGTTCTCAGAGTCGCGGGCTGCCCTGTCTTCTGGGCCTACCGCACATGGCGCGAGTCGCGGCGTGAGGCCTGCGCGGGTTCAGCCGGTAGATTCCTCCATGCGGGCGGGAAGGAGGAGTGGGCCTAATGAGGAGTCCTTTTTCTGTTCGGCCTTTCAACAGTCTGGGGACTACGAGACTCGGGTCTTGTCCCTAGCGAAGAAGTTTCTAGTGCCCGCACAGCACCGCCCTCCTCCTGGAGGCGGAGTCTGGAGGGCCGTGAAGGAGCCGCCCTAGGGTGGAAGATGGAGGGCGCCCTCCTGGCCGTTGTCGAACGGGTAGCCTTACACCCTCTCACTACTCGTCCTTAAGTTAATATTGTCGCTAGTTTGCCCAGACACTCGATTTCTCTGACTTTACTATTTATACTTGGCGTCCTCATGTAAGTCCTTGATGATAGATGCTTAATTTGTTTTAAAATTACTGTAAATGAATATTCTCTTAAGATGCCTACTTCTTTCTATATGTATTGGAAGGCACTAAAATATATATTGTTAGAGAGTATGGGTATTCATCCACAGTGAGCAAGCTTGTAATTACAGTAGCTCTGGAGGCTGAGGCAGGAGGATCACAGGTTCAAAGATATCTTAAGCAATTTAGAGACCCTAAGAAACTTGCCGAGATCCTGGTCAGAATAAAAAGGGTTGGGGATATGACCCAGTAGTTAAGTGCCCCTGGGTTCAACCCTGGTACCAAAAAATAAAGAGCATCCGTATTCTTGATTTTCTTTTTTAGGCATCCCTTTCCCTTGCACCTGTTAACATCTTCAAGGCTGGAGCTGATGAAGAGAGAGCGGAGACAGCTCGTCTGGTAAGCCCATTCTCCCTTGTTCTTATAAAAATACAATTGTATTTTTTTTCTATGATCAAAATTCTGACAGTCTCAGATTTTCATTTCAGTCATCATTTATTGGTGCCATCGCCATTGGAGATTTGGTGAAGAGCACGTTGGGACCCAAGGGCATGGTAAGCAAAAATAACAAATTTTTTTGTTTTGAGATAGGGTCTTGAAATTTTAATATTTTCTAAAGCTCTTATTGGAGATATAGTTAGTAACTTTTTAAAAAATCTTTTAAGACTTAAATTTTATAAGCGGTACGTTCTTTTTTGCTAAGAACAAAATACGTCCTGGATCATTATCTCCAGTTCCATGCCTTTCCCTGGTGGCAACCAGTGTTATTTGTATGTCCATTTTTTCAGTATTTTCCTGTTATGTTCTGACATAACATACATACATGCTGTTTGTGTGTACTTTTTCTGTAATTACTCTTTTAAATTCCTTTCAGAGTAAGTAGATACACCATCTCCTCTTTAACTGTCAAATAGTATTCTGTAGCTTGATTATAACTTTACTTGATGGACGCTTCTATTGTTTCCATTGTTTTCTATCACAGAGCTAAAACAAATCTAGGGAGGTCTGATTCTCCTTGTATTTCTAATGCCTCTGGGGATAGATAATGAAGATATGATAGTGGGGTATATGCTTTGGAAACATTTGATGGCCAGTAGCTATCCGAGGTATTTACATGTCAGCAGTATACTGCTGAGTATACTGATTGATTCATGCATTCTTGAAGGTGTATTTATATCTTAACTTGAAATAAATATGTTCTCTTTAGGACAAAATTCTTTTAAGTAGTGGACGAGATGCCTCTCTCATGGTAACCAATGATGGTGCCACTATTCTGAAAAATATTGGTGTTGACAATCCAGCAGCTAAAGTTTTAGTTGGTGAGTCTGAAGATAATACTATTTGGTTAACATTTTGAAATGATGTTTTCTAATAGGTTGTGTTGACTGATACTCAACACTTTTTAATTGATTGTTACTATTAAAATACAGTTTCAGAAGAGCCATGTAATTGTTGGTGATTATCTTAGTTCATTTTGTGCTGTTATAACAGAAACCACAGATTGAGTAATTTATAAACAATAGAATTTCATTTGGCTCATGGGTCTAGAGGCTAGAAAATCCAAGGTCTGGGAACCATGTCTGGACCTTCTGCTTTGATATAACATGCTGGTAAGCATCACAAGAGAGAGATTGGGGATTTATGTTTCCAGCACATGAACTCGGGGTGGGGGGGCATAATCATACCATAACAGTGGTAAAAATTTTTTTATTTCAGACCTAAAAGCTTCCCCAAATTTGTCAGGTGAGGAATCTATGTTAGTGAGAGTAGATTGGTAGTGGGTATTTTTGTATAACTTAGTAAGCTACAGAGAAATAATTTTAACACTTTTCTTTCTAGATATGTCAAGGGTTCAAGATGATGAAGTTGGTGATGGCACTACCTCTGTTACTGTTTTAGCAGCAGAATTACTAAGGGTAAGAGCAACTGAGAACTCTGGCCTTGTTATTTGTTACTATGGTTTTGAATAAATGATTAAGTCCTTTGTAACTATTATTTGTATAACTGTTTATTAATAGGAAGCAGAATCTTTAATTGCAAAAAAGATTCATCCACAGACCATTATTGCGGGTTGGAGAGAAGCCACAAAGGCTGCAAGAGAAGCTCTGTTGAGTTCTGCTGTTGATCACGGGTTGGTATACCAAAATACTACAGTTCTAAAATTCTAGCCTAAAGAATGCTGAAAAGCATACACAAGTATGATTCTGCTTCACTCCACCCACCAGTCAGATCCACATCAGCCTCCAGAGACAGCCACCAAAGTGAAAGTTTGTGTTTCTAGTCTTTTTGCATGTAATAAAAAATAAAAATGCCCCCAAACCCCAAATACATCGTGTAGAGGGTCTGTTAGCATCTTTTTAAACTAGTTGGATAACAATTACATTTCTTAAGTGTTAGTAATCTCTGCAATGTTACTTTTAATAGAGTTAAACGTTTGCATATAGAACTAATGGAATTTCCTTAACCTATTTATGGTTGGAGATTTCTGTTCTTGATAATTTTAGTTATAAAATAATGTGACAGACGTGTTATCCAGGAACTTGTTTATACAATTGCTGGGTCCAAAGGTGAGTACATGTTTTAAGGCATTTTATGTACATTACCAAATAAATGTTCAAAAAATTTTATTTATACTCCCAGTACACTAATTGTGTGATAATGCTTTTTTCCCCATGCTCTTGGCAACATTTGATTTGTGTGTGTGTGGTGTGTGTGTGTGTATGTGTGAGTGCCCTGGGGATCTAACTAAGGGGCACATCCCCAACCCTCTTGTATTTTATTTAGAGACTGTGCCCCTCGATTTTGCTGAGGCTGGCTTTGAACTCAGTATCCCCCATCTCAGCCTCCTGAGCCACTGTGATTATGGGCGTGTGCCACCGCACCCAGTACATTTAATATTCTTCTGATTTTCCCTCCATTCCTGCCCCCTTGGGCAGTTTGGTGGAGAAAACGTACCCTTTAATTCACTTCTCTGGATTATTGGAGAGAGGTTTAGTCTTTTCCTGTGAATTTTGGAGACCTGGCTAGGGTAAAAATATCTATGGATTAATGGCTATCTAGATAAACTTTGAAAAGTAAAATAGGGTTGTTTACTGTGAGCAAACATTTTAATAACAGGGTTGGTTTTCTTTTTGTTTCTTTGATTGCTTTTTATTTAGTTCTGATGAAGTTAAGTTCCGTCAAGATTTAATGAATATTGCAGGAACAACATTGTCCTCAAAACTTCTTACTCATCACAAAGATCACTTTACCAAATTAGCTGTAGAAGCTGTTCTCAGACTGAAAGGTTCTGGTAATCTGGAGGCGATTCATGTCATCAAGAAGCTAGGAGGGAGTCTGGCAGATTCTTATTTAGATGAAGGTATGTATGGGAAAGAAGTTTGGATAAGCTTCTGAGAGGCTGAATACTGAATGAGTCTTGATTTTAGTTAATGGGAATTTGTGACAATTTACAGAGCCAGAAAACTTAACTTTGAGGACATATACATTGCAACCATTTTTCATTTTAATCTATTTGTTAAAAACTGACAGTGTACGTCATCTTCTTATACCATCCCTGCATTTTTCTGATAACTTCTAGATTTCACTTTGTACCATGAAATTATTTGCAGTCTAGTGAAGAGTAGTTAGAATTTTTTTAAATTTTTTGATGGACCTTTATTGTATTTATTTGTATGTGGTGCTGAGAATCAAACCCAGTGCTTCACACATGCTAGGCAAGCGCTCTACCACTGAGCCACAACCCCAGTCCCTGAGTAATTGTAATTTTCTTTTGCTGAAAATTAGCTACTCTCAAATAGCACTTTTTCTAGTATTACGTGTATCATCCAGGAGGGATCTGGATAAGTCAGACCATTTAGTAGTTAGCAGGTTACTGAGGAAGTGTTCCTTCTTGTTTTAAGAAGATCCTTTAACTGACAAATCTATGTGGTTTATGTTCTGAGAGATAGGATTTATAGAGCTGTCTATTTATTTATTTTTGATACTGGGGATTCAACCCAGGGGTACTTAACCGCTGAGGTACATCCTCAGTCGTCCTTATTTTTTGAGGCAGGGTTAAGCTAATTGCCTTTATATTGACCTTTATATTGACCTTTATATAAAGGCTGACCTTTATATTGGGATCCTCCTGTATGACTAGGATTATAGGCATGTGCCATTGCCCTTACTAGAGGGTACAGTTTAGCATAGTGTTAAAAAGCAACTTCACGTTGTATTTGCTTCTCAAAATATTATATAGAAGATGTAGGCATTCTCCTACAGGGAAGAAGAAAATTATTACTTTAAAAAATAATCTGCTTGAATCAAATGTATGAAATATGATGTCAAGAGCTTTGTAATGTTTCGAACAACTAATAATAAAAAAAGAATCAAAAAAATAAAAAATATTTTTAAATTGCATTTTATATGTAAGGACTAGTATTTTTTTTGTAATTCTAATTAGTTATACATGACCGCAGAATGTATTTTGATTTATAATATACAAATGGAGTATGATTTTTTATGTATCTGGTTGACACCATTTGTGTCATCATACATGTACCTAGGGTAATGATGTCCGTCTCATTCCACCATCTTTCCTACCCCCATGCTTCCCCTTTCCCCCCTCCCCTTTGCCCTATTCAAAGTTCCTTCATTCCTCCCATGGGCGCACTCCCCCGCCCACCTCATTATAGATTAATATCTACTTATCAGAGAAAACATTCAGCCTTTGGTATTTGGGGATTGACTTCACTTAGCATGATGTTCTCTAACTCCATCCATTTATCTGCAAATGCCATGATTTTATTCTCTTTTAGTACTGAGCAATATTCCATTGTGTATGTATATACCACAGTTTCTTTATCTATTCATCTATTGAAGGGCATCTAGGTTGCTTCCACAATTTAGCTATTGTGAATTGAGCTGCTATTAACATTGATGTGGCTGCATCACTGTAGTATGCTATTTTTAAGTCCTTTGAGTATAGACCCACGAGTGGATAGCTGGGTCAAATAGTGGTTCCATTACAAGTTTTCTAAGGAATCTCCTACAAATTAATTGTACCAATTTGCAGTCCCACCAGCAATGTACGAGTGTGCCTTTTCCCCCACGTACTCGCCAATAGTTATTGTTGCTTGTATTCTTGATAATTGCCATTTTGACTGGAGTGAGTTTTTTTTTTTTAATGTATTTATTGATCAATTGTATATCTTCTGAGAGTGTCTGTTCAGTTCCTTAGCTCATTTATTGTTTGGGCTATTTGTTTTTTTGGTGTTAAGTTTTTTGAGTTCTTTATATATCCTGGAGATTAGTGCTCTACCTGATAGTGTGTGTGTGGTAGAAATTTGCTCCCATTCTGTAGGCTCTCTCTTCACCTCACTGATGGTTTCTTTTGTGGAGAAGCAATTTTTTAGTTTGAATCCATCCCAGGACCTTGTGCATGCAACCATTTATTGATTCTTGCTTTTATTTCTTGTGCTTTAGGACACTTGTAAAGGAAGTCAGGGCCTAATCAGACATGATGAAGATTTGGGTCTATTTTTTCTTCTGTTAGGTACAAGGTCTCTTGTCTAGTTCCTAGGTCCTTGATCCACTTTGAGTTGAGTTTTGTGCATAGTGAGAGATGGGGGCTTAATTTCATTTTGCTGCATATGGATTTCCAGTTTTCCCAGCACTATTTGTTGAAGAGACTATCTTTTCTTCAATGTATGTTTTTGGCGCCTTTGTCTAGTAAGAGATAACTGTATTTATGTATTTACTTATTTTGTCTCTGTGTCTTCTGTTCTGTACCACTGGTCTCCATGCCTTTTTTGGTGCCAGTACCATGCTGTTTTTGTTACTTTTGTTCTGTAATTGTCCAGTATTTCTTAACAGGACCTGATAAGTAGTGGAATTCTATTTAAAACAAGGTTAGAAGGAGGGGGAAAAAAAGGATAGTAGCACAAGCACCTGCTGTTCTGTGTTGTCTGCCAGGCAGTGCAATAGGAATTGTAGTTCTTTAATCCTTGTGATGATGACCCATTGAGTGAATAGTTTGACTGAAAAGAGCAGAAAACTCAATAAGGGAAAAGTTTCTTATGCATTCATTTCAAAGAAGCCTGGAAAGATAAGCAGTACTGAGTTCATATATATGATGGTACCAAATCTCCACAGCTAGGTTAGTAGCTAGTATTTCTTTTTCTGATTCTATTTCTGTTTGACAGATGTGTATTTATGCTTGATGCTTAACTGTAAATCAGTATGCATCAGGGACATGATTGGACAAGTTTATCCAACTCATCTCTTATCCATTATTTTTAAATTTCACTAGCTTCAAAGTTTTAGGTTTACCTTTTACTGTCTGTGCTGTGCTCTGATGTTTTTTTGTAATTTAAATAACCCACTAAATTGATTTTTTTGATCATTTTTCTAATGGGATGGTTTGTAGGTTCTAGGAGCTTGGTAAATTGAACTTGAATAAATTCCTTGAATTAGTCATTTCATAAATGAAGCCTTTTAATACTATTATGTTTATTGTAGGATTCCTATTGGATAAAAAAATTGGAGTAAATCAACCAAAGCGAATTGAAAATGCAAAAATTCTTATTGCAAACACTGGAATGGATACAGACAAAATAAAGGTATGTAACTATTTTTCTTGAAGTTGTAATTGCTGGTTGCTATAAACTCAGGCTGGGAATCAGATGCTTTAAAAAGCTTAAAATGTGTGTATGAATATATACACACATGTACTTTTCTGTATTTAGAGACATGGTGTCTCTGAGCTGCTTAGCGCCTCGCTTTTGCTGAGGCTGGCTTTGAACTTGGGATCCTCCTGCCTCAGCCTCTTGAGCCATTGGGATTATACATACCACCATGCCTGGTTTATACATAGTTTTTGATAGTACATAAAAATGTTGAAATATGCAGTGGGACTTAAAAAGATTAATAAAACTGATGCTGTGTATATGTACTGATGTGTGTTTCTTTGTTTTAGATATTTGGTTCCCGGGTAAGAGTTGATTCTACAGCAAAGGTTGCAGAAATTGAACATGCGGAAAAGGAAAAAATGAAGGAGAAAGTTGAACGTATTCTTAAGCATGGAATAAACTGCTTTATTAACAGGTCTGTGTTTGTATGTGTTAATGATACTTTTCTTTGGGTGCTAGGGATTGAACCCAGGGCCTAGTGCATGCAAGGCAAGCACTCTACCAACTGAGCTATATCCCCAGCTCATTGATGGTATTTTTAATGTAAAAAATGATTTTTTTTCACAAAAATTATGGAAGTATTTCATATTGAATTAATCTTTTTTGGTACTGGGAATTGAACCCTTATAACTGAGCTACATCCCCAGTCCTTTCTTAAATTTTGAGACAAGTTCTTCCTAAGTTGCTGAGAGTCTCACAAAATTGTCTAGGCTGATATTGGACTTGGTATCCTTCTGCTTCAGCCTCCTTGGTCTCTGATTATAGGAGTACTGTGCCTAGTTACAGTACATATTTTTAATATTATAGATTTTCATAATTAGATGTGATTTCCACATACTCTTAGCAGGCATAGAAGTCACTCACATTTAATCTTTACTTTCTTGGCTGACTTGGTGTGGCACAGATGAAGAACATTGTACAGTAGTCGCCCCTGCTCGGCGTTGGATATATTCATAGACCCCTAGAGGATGCTTGAAACTATGGATAGTACTAAACCCTTTAGATACTGTTTCTTGGTTTTCGGTTTTTTCATTACATGTTTGGGATGAAGTTTAATTTACGAATTAGGCACAGTATGAGATTAACAACACTTAATACAACAATAATAAAGTAAGACAGTTAAACCGTACTTTCACATGTTATGTGAAGGTGTTCTTGATTGCCCTCTCTCAGTACCTCATTGTACTGTACTTATCTTTCTTGTGATGATGTGAGATTTATGATAACAGTACTTATGTTTGAGATGAAGTGACTTAGGCATTGTGCCTTAATGTTTGACTGCGATGTCAGGGTTACTTATATAGAGATATCCTGATTGTTGATTTAATAACCTAGATGGCTACTAAGTGACTAAAGACAGGTAGAAAACATTGTGGAGACATGGGACAAAGGTGTGATTCACATTCTGGGCAAGACAAAGAAGGACAATGCAAGATTTTAGTAGGCTATTTAGAACCAAACTATTGGTTTTATTTTTGGGCCTCAATTGACCATGAATAACTGAAGTGTGGAAAAATGAAATCACATAAAAAATTCTTTAACATTTAAATTTTATTGCTGTAGATTACCAGGAGTTAACGTATATGGACATCAATAAGGTTTTTGATGCTTTTCTGCTAAATTAACACATTTTCTTTCTTTCTTTCTTTTTTTTTTTTTTTTGTTTTCGTTTTGTTTTGTACTGGGGATTGAACTAAGGGGCGCCCAACCACTAAGCCATGTTCCCAGACCTTTTTATTTTTGAGACAGAGTCTCAAGTTGCTAAGTCTAGCTTTGAACTTGACAATCCTATTTTAGCCTCCCATCTTGCTGGGATAAGTGAGAAATGGTAACTTGTTCTAATTTGTGTGTCTGGTAAAAAATATCTGCATTCTTTTTAGCTTGTTTTGTGAAACAGAAGTTTTGAGCATAATGTTTTATATGTTTTATTTGCAGACAATTAATTTATAATTATCCTGAACAGCTTTTTGGTGCTGCTGGTGTCATGGCTATTGAGCATGCAGATTTTGCAGGTGTAGAGCGCCTGGCCCTTGTTACAGGTATGTATAAGAGGCATTAGTTTTTTTTTTTTTTGGTCGTTCATAACATTACATAGTTCTTAATACATCATATTACACGGTTTGATTCAAGTGGATTATGAACTCCCGCTTTTACCCCGTATACAAATTGCTGTATCACATCAGTTACCCTTCCATTGATTGACATATTGCCTTTCTAGTGTCTGATGTATTCTGCTGTCTGTCCTATTGTCTACTATCCCCCCTCCCCTCCCCTCCCCTCCCCTCCCCTTTTCTCTCTCTACCCCTTCTACTGTAATTTCTAATAAACATAATAGTCACTCAGATTTATTGAACATTACTATATGTGATTCATTGTTGAAAATATGAAGAAATCCCTGTAAGGAGTTTAGAGTTTTAGAGTTATTCTGAAATCTTATTGAAGAGTTATTCTGAAATCTCATTTATACTTTTGGAAGTTTGTAATTTAGTTACTTTTAACTGCTGAGTTGCATCCCATGCCCTTTTTATTTTTAATTTTGAGCCAGAGTCTTCCCCAAGTTGCTGGGATTGTAGGTGTGCACCACCACACTTGACTAGTTACAGTATTTTTAATACAGGTTGAATATTTTTTGTCTGATTGGGACTTTGAAGCCCTTTAGATGTTGGATTTTATTTTTTGATTTAGGAATATTTGTATATATATATAATGAGATAACTTGAGGATGGGACCCAGTTGTAAACATGAAAGTCATTTGTTTTATGTACATCTTGTACTCAGTCTGAAGGAAATTTTATGCAATATTTTGGTGCATCTGTGATCCATCACATAAAAGTTTTGCTGTTGTGTTCATGTTCAAAGTTTATATTTTGAATCTACAGCTAATTTAGGAATGCTTAGCCAAAATAATGCATAATGCCATAATGCTATGCCAAGTTATATACAAGGTTCACCATGGCTGTAGATTTTTTTTGTTGGTGTTACTATTTTAAAGATAAATCTTTTTTAAGATGTTAATTAACCTTTGTTTTAGACATTTATTTATATGTGGTGCTGAGAATTAAACCCAATGCCTCAAACTTGCTAGGCAAGTGCTCTACACTGAGCCACAACCCCAGCCCTGAAGATAAATTTTTTCTTACCAGTTTATAAGTTTAATTTTCTAAATATAGTCTAAGCAAACTATTGCTTAAGGAGTAGTTGAATGCTTCTACCCTATGTAATACAGTTACAGTAGTAACCTTTAATGAACACTTTGTGCTAGAGTAAAGTATGTATACTTAGTTTTTCTTAATTTTTAAATTTTTCTGAAAGTAATAAATGTTGAAATAAAAAGTTCAGCAACATGGTGAAAGTGTATGCTTAATGATTTCTTGTTTTTCCTTCCCCCTCCCTCCCTCTCTTCCTTCCTTCCTGCACTGGAGATTGAACCGAGGGCCTCATATCTGCTAGGCATATGCTCTAACACTAAGCTGCATCCCTAGTTTTTTTTTTTGTTTTTTTTTTTATTTTTTTGGTTGTAATTGGACACAATACCTTTATTTTGTTTTTATGTGGTGCTGAGGATTGAACCCAGGGCCTTGTGCATGCTAGGCAAGCACTCTACCGCTGAGCCACCACCCCAACCCTGCATCCCTAGTTTTTTATTTTTTTATTTTGAGACTGGATTACTAAGTAGCTGGGCTGGCCTCCAACTAGCAGTTCTTTTGCCTCAAGCCTTTCTGATAGCTGGGAGTATAAGCATGCACCACCATGCCTGGCTCAGAATGATATATGAAGCCATTTTTAGTAATTTGAGAGGCATAATCTTCCTTTGACCTAGAGACATTTTCCTTTTGTTAATTACTTGGAAGTGGGTTTACCTGTTTTTAAAGTTCTTTATAAGCCATGGTAAACTTGATGTGTAAGTTACCAACTATAATGTTCATGTTGATGTAATTGATCTTCTAGTGCAAGAAAATAAAGACATTTGAAATAAATGTATGATATGTCAAGATCAATGTAAAGTTTTGAGCAACCAATAAATTTCTGATGTTTAAAAAAAATAAAGACATAAGAAATATGGATGATAACACAATTCATAGAGCAAATTGATATCATAAGGACTTAGTACGTGAAATTGTCACATATATTCAGAAGAAAATTTACTGCAAAAAAGCACAACTCTGGCTGTGAAATTGACCTCATAATCAGAGCTAAGTATCAATGTGTGTGAAAATGGTTATTGCAAATGTCAAGAAATGTCTCATAAGCAGATAAAGTAAAAAGGTCTAGGGATGTAGTAAAATGCACCTGGTTCAATCCCTGGTACCCCAGCCCCCTGCCCTAAAAGAAAAGAAAAAAAATAGGAAAAGAAGGTTTGATTGATAATACATGAAATCCACATTATTAAAAGGGAAAGAACATAATTTTTAAAAAAGGATTTTGAAATGGAAAACTAGCTTGCTTTGATCAGGGACAGGAAAGGAAGTAGCTGAAGTTAAATTTATAGAGCATGGAAGATGGAAATTAACTTGAAATAAGACATAAGAACTAAAATGAATTCACTCTTTTTTATACCTCGGTAAGTTTTGCTGTGGGAAATTCTCAGTGTGCATTTCTCCCTTTTCTAGGCCTTACTGGGGCTTTTTGACATTTCAATTATTGTGAGAATTAGAGCTGTCAAAGGCCCATATTGTAAGCAGTTCAGAAATTCTTGTCAAAGTTAGTCAGGTGCAGTGGCGCACATCTGTTACCCAGCAGCTTAGACGGTTGAAACAGGAGGGTTGAGAGTTCAAACCCAGCGCCAGCAAAGAGCTCGGCACTAAGCAACTCAGGCCCTGTCTCTAAATAAAATATAAAATAGGGCTGGGGATATGACTCAGTGGTTGAGTGCTCAGAGTTCAATCCTTGGTATCCCTCTGTCCCCAAAAATAGTTAACATAAATGAAATATCTGGTCAGGTTTTTTATTGTGTCCTGGGAAATTGTTTTATAAAATTTAGTATTCTGGATTGGATTCAGAAGAGAATTAGAATTTAAGTTCAGACTTTTAAAGGTAAATTTTTTTTTAACTTTTGATTTAACATTTGGGGAATAGTATCCCACAGCGTGCATACAGGTCTGAAGCGAGACTACTTGGATATGAATCTCAGCTTCAGTTTATTTATTTTTTTTAAGTTGTATTCTTTTTTTTTTTAAAGAGAGAGAGAGAGAATTTTAATATTTATTTCTTAGTTCTCGGCAGACACAACATCTTTGTTTGTATGTGGTGCTGAGGATCGAACCCCGGGCCGCACACATGCCAGGCGAGCGCGCTACCGCTTGAGCCACATCCCCAGCCCCTCAGCTTCAGTTTATACTAGCCATGTAACTTTACATAAATCACTAAACTTGTATGCCTTCTTTGTTTTATTTTTGTTTGTGGTGCTGGGGATCAAACCAGGGCCTCACACATGCCAGGCAATCTGTCTACCATGAACCACATTCCTAGCTTTCTGCCTCTTTTTTTGCAATGTGCAAATCAGATAATTAACCTGTTGCATACAGTTGATGTGAAGAATTAGTGTATAGTGTAACTGATATATAGTAAGCAATCAGTTTTTTTTTTTTTTTTTAGTTGTAGATGGACACAATTTATTTACTTTTATGTGGTGCTGAGGATCAAATCCTCAGCCTTATACATGCTAGGCAAGAGCTCTACCACTGAGCCACAACCCCAGCCCAGCAATCAGTTTTTAAAATGTAGTTAATACATTATTTATAAGTCTATTACACACATCTAATGTTTATGTTCATAGGTGGAGAAATTGCTTCTACCTTTGATCACCCAGAACTGGTGAAGCTTGGAAGTTGCAAACTTATTGAGGAAGTCATGATTGGAGAAGATAAACTAATTCACTTTTCTGGGGTTGCCCTTGGTGAGTTATTATGCCCTTGGTGTGTTGTTGTTATGTATCTCATGGTTCCTAAATTTTTTCTAGGCTCCATTGTAGTGGGAAAAAAAAGTTACTATAGTACTAGAAAATGTTATTAGTCTAAAATCTTTTTTTTTTTTTTTTTTTTTTTTTTTTAGTGCTGAGGATTGAACCCAGGGCCTTATGCATACAAGGCAAGCACTCTACCAACTTAGCTATATCCTCAGCCCCAAGCCTAAAGTTTTGAAAAAGCATATTTTGAAGTAAACTTCATATTTATTATGCCTTTTATGAAGAGTGCATATTCAGCTTTTAGTTTTCTCTATTTTAGAATCACTATGAATATAAGTTGGGAAAGGAAATGCGTAACAGAATATATCAGCTTTCAAAATCCAAGAATGTAAACAACACCTACATAAATCATAGAGTGCATAATTTTCACGTTTATGACTAATTTGTCACTATGATATAAGAATATTATGTTTTAATTTTAGGTGAGGCTTGTACCATTGTTTTGCGTGGTGCCACTCAACAAATTTTAGATGAAGCAGAAAGATCTTTGCATGATGCTCTTTGTGTTCTTGCCCAAACTGTGAAGGATTCTAGAACAGTATATGGAGGAGGTAAGAATTTGGAAAACATTAAACACTTTAAGAAATAAAAGTATGATTTGGTTCTTAGAAACTAAATGTATTATCTTTGCATTTAGGGTTTTTTTTTACAATTTTTCTCCCCACTTGCAGTACTGGCAGTTAAACCCGGAGGTACTGTACTACTGAGCTACATCCCTATCCCTGCTTTTTTTGGAGACAGGACCTCTCTGTGTGTTGGGCTGGCCTCCAACTTGTGATTCTTCAGTTTTAGTCTTCAGAATTAGATGGGTTTACAGGCATGCACCGTTGTGCCTGGTCTTTGCACTTAATTTTAAAGCACTTGGCAATATCTGAAAGGAAGTCAATAATTCAGTACCATGAAGATAACATTAGCAATATTTTAATGGAATTTTTATTCATAGGCTGTTCTGAGATGCTGATGGCTCATGCTGTGACACAGCTTGCCAGTAGAACACCAGGCAAAGAAGCTGTTGCAATGGAGTCTTATGCTAAAGCACTGAGAATGGTAAGCTAGTAAAAATGAGAAATTTCAACTTAAATTTTGTGGCTATTGATGATTTTTAAATGAGTACATTTTACATCCTAGACAGCAAATGGTCACTGTCGTGGCTTTTTTTTTAAGTTGTAGACAGAGTACCTTTATTTATTTTTATATGGTGCTAAAGGATCAGACTCAGTGCTTCACATGTGCTAGACAAGTGCTCTACCGCTGAGCCACGACCCCAGTGCCTGCCTTGGCTTTAAGAACATTCACCATTTTCAAATTTGATTCTGAATTTTATACCCTTAATGAGCAATAACTAAAAGCAGATTTTATATTGTTTCTAAATGTAGTTTTAAAAAGCCATCTTTCTAGATAGCAGTAAGTTAATGTTTTGTATAGTAAAGTTAATTTATCTCCTTCATTTCATAGTTACCAACCATCATAGCTGACAATGCAGGCTATGACAGCGCAGATTTGGTGGCACAGCTCCGAGCTGCTCACAGTGAAGGCAATATAACTGCTGGACTGGGTAAGAAATATGTGCAACTTTTGTAGTAGTTGCCAAAAGTGTCTATCTCAAGTTTGTTTGTTTTTTCTTTTTTTTGGAAAAAGAAAAAGAAGTTTGCATGATAAATGTATAAGATTCCTTTGTTCCTTTTGTGTAACTTATCTGGGGAAATATTTAACTTTATATTCTCAACATTAACCTAGGAAGTATAAAACTAGTTAGAAGATTGGTAACTAGTTTGGTATATAATGATGCATAAATAATGCTCATATTCTGAAATAAGTGTAAATTCTGCTACTACTATTCTCTTTTTGATACTGGAGATTGAACCCAGGGCCTTGTTAAGCAAGTACTCTACCACTACCACTGATCTATATCCCTAGCCCATCTACTATGATTTCTTAAAACTCCTTTTTCTTTTTTTTGATGGGTGTGTAGGGGGATACCTTGGATTTAATCTAAGGGCACTTAATCACTCAGCCACATCCCTAGTCCATTTTTTTTTTTTAATTTTAAAATAGTGCTGAGACTGGTCTTGAGCTTGTGATCCTCTGTCTCAGCCTCCCGAGTCACTGGGATTACAGGCATGCACTGTCATTCTAGCTAATACCTAATTTTATAATAAACTTATTGAGACATTCTTGAAGGCAGATCTTTAATCCATAGATAAGAGTGGCCAACAGGCAGATTTAATTCAGATTAAAAATTTCTAATAAGCTTTGCAGCGTATTATAGGAACAATCTTAGAAAGTAGATAATCCTGTCATTGAATAAGAGAGCCAATTAATCATCTGTCTGAGAAACAATGAAAGGTTGGATAGGTGACTTATAAATTTTCTTCCAGGTGTATGACTTCATAGTAGTTAGCAATAAGCAAATTTTCTGCATTAATTTTATATGTAGGTATAGATAAAGAGAATATTAATGTAAGTGACCTAGTGTTTTGTACAATTAATTGTTCTTTGACATTGTTGCCCTCTGTTAATACAGGTGAATAGTAATTGAATAGAATAGAAGTGCCTCTTTTTTGGTACTGGGGATTGAAGTCAGAGTTGCATTACCATTGAGCTACATCCCAGTTCTTTTTTTTTTTTTTTTTTTTTTTCCTTCATATTGAGACAGGGTCTTGCTGTGTTGTGGAAGCTGGCCTCAAACATGCCACCCTTGTGCATTGGCCTCCTGAATCACTGAGATTACAGGTGTACGCCACTGCAACTAGCAGTAATTGACATTGGAATCCCCCCCTTTTTTTTGTGGTACTGGAAATTGAACAAAGGCCTCATCCATAATGTTCTCAAATTCCATTCATTTACCTGCGAATTCTTATTTATGGTTGAATAAAATTCCATTGTTAAACATACTGCATTATTTTTATCTAGTCATCTGTTAATGGATACCTAGGCCGATTTCAGAATTCAACTGTTGTGAACTGTGCTGCTATAAACATGGGTATGCCTGGTTAGATCTTTTAATTTTTTTTTTTTTTTTTGAGGACATTTATTTATTTGTATATGGTGCTGAGAATTGAACCCAGTGCCTCATGCATGCTAGGCAAGCCCACTACCACTGAACCACAACCCCAGTCCCTAGATCTTTTAATTTTTAAAAAGGCTTTCCTGAATTCTTTTATGAACTAATTTGCTAACTGTATCAAGTAGTTGGGTGTTGTAATCTTAGACTGTTTTTTTAAAACAGGTTTCATTTTATTTATTATAAATCGTTAAAGATGTTTTGATACTTCAGTTGTTAAACTACAAGTTTTTCTTTTCAGATATGAAAGAAGGTACCATAGGAGATATGGCAATATTGGGCATCACAGAAAGTTTCCAAGTGAAGCGGCAAGTTCTTTTGAGTGCAGCTGAAGCAGCAGAGGTGATTCTACGTGTGGACAACATCATCAAAGCAGCACCAAGGTATCAGAGCACTTTTAGTTTCTAGAAAAAATTACTAACACTGAGACAAGTGGAGCACTTTTACTTGATACCTTAGTTAATGAGACATAGAAACATATTTGCCTAGTTAAAAGAGTCCCTAAGTTATTTAAAGTAGTCTCAATTCTTAAGAATTTTAAGTCAGGAAAGCTTTTGGGAAAGGGAGCATGAACAACTATGCTAGCTTCTCAGGATTGAAAGGGCACATAAAGAGCCAGATTTAGAAAATTTAAATATCAGGGAGCTTGGGGGCTAAGGGTAGCAGTGTTATAATAACCTATAACCTATGTTTTTGTTTTTGTTTTTTTTTTTTAACCAGGATGAATAAGCTTCCATTGTTTTCTGTCCTGGGTATACTTCTATTTAGACATTTTTAAGCACACATTGTATAAGGTTTCTTTATAGGTTTTATTTTTAGCAACTTAAGTTCTTTTAAAATCTCATTCACATAGAAATGGTTAAGGACAAGCTGAGCCCAGTGGTTTATACCTTTAATTGTAGCAACTCAGGAGGCTAAGGCAAAAGGATTGCAGGTTTGAGGCCAGCGTCAGCAACTTAGTGAGGACTGGAGAGGTAGCTTGGTGATTTATCCCCACTACTCAGTGGTCCCCCGCTCCCTCCCCCCCCCCCACAAAAAAGGGAAAGGGTTAAAGGGAAAGATGAAGATTCAGTTAATGATTTTCACTTGCTCTTAGTAGTTATTAGTCATTCATATTTACTATTAGTATTGGTTCAAGGAGATGGGAGAGTATAGTAGTTTGGACCAGGATATTGTGGCAAGGGTGATGAGAAGGGATTGACTGTGGATCTATTTTGAAAGTAGAACCAATAGGGTTTTAATTATGAGTTGGATGCAGGGTGTGAGAGGAAAGAGAATTAAAAAATATTTCAAGGATTTTGCCTGAAGAAATGAATTTCTTTTGTCTGAAATGCAAAGAGAGAAAGAGGGAAGGCAGATAGGGGTTTCAAGCCAGGAAACTGCTTGAGTCTCTACAAGTGAATGTCGTAAATAAGGGAAGAGTTTTTAAGAACTGAGTGCTGCAGAACTCCTATAATAAGTTCAGAAAGATGCAGAGCATCCAACAGAGGACATAAAGAAGGAATAAACAGATGTAGAAAATTATTAATCCTGGGTAAGGTGTATGAGGATTTGTTATACAATCCACTTTTACTTACATTTGAAACTTTTTTACAATAACAAAATTTAAAAGTGGGTTGGGAGGGATGTCACTTAGGTAGTAGGACAACCAAGGTAATTTGTATCTCCTTAACTAAGTGAAGAAGTGGGAGAGGTTCAGGTGCAAGATCACATAGCCTAAACCTACCCATAGAAATCTTCATAATAGAAATCTTCACAATAACTCAGTGTCCTCAACCACATTTGAAACGTATATTTTTGCAGTAAAGAAACATGAATACTTTTACTTTTAGCTTTGCCAAACTCATTTTTCATATTTCTTTTTCTTTTTTTTTTTTGGTACCAGGGCGCTCCACCACTGAGCTACATCCCCAGCCTTATTTTGTATTTTATTTAGAGACAGGGTCTCACTGAGTTGCCTAGCACCTCAGTTTTGCTGAGCCTGGCTTTGAACTCAAGATCCTCTTGCCTCAGCCTTCCAAGCCAGTGGGATTACAGGTGCATGCCACTGCACCTGCCATATTCTTTTCTTAACCACCAGAGAATGTGCTTTTCAGATTAGTGCCCAGTGATAACTGGTTAATAAATTTTTTTGACATGGTTAGGAACCTAGTTTGCCTATAAACTACTGAGTTGGAAGGTGTTTATTTCTGTATGACCCAAATTTAATACTATGTTCTTTGAGTCTGTTCTTTTACTTTTCTTTACTGTTTTTTGTGCCTTTAGAAAGAGTGTTTCTGAATCACGAAGTTAAAAATTTCCCTGTATCCTTACCATCTTTTCTCCTCAAAAGATCCTTATATGTCCTTACTCTGTGGTCATTAGAGAATAGAAGTTGTGAGGGATATTTTTGTTATGGTTCTAGATTCATCTAGAATCTTCAGTGTCCTGCCATTTTTTGGACTTCTGGTTAAAGTAATTGTGTCTAGGGCTAGGGCTGTAGCTTGCCTAGCATGTGTGAGGCACTGGATTCGATTCTCAGCACCACATACAAATAAATAAAATAAAGGTCCATCAACCTTATTAAAAACACACAAAAAAGTAATTGTATCTAATACAGTAAAATTTCCTAACATGTATTAGTAAAAAACATGGATTAACCCTTTTTTTCTCGAGAATGTTCTTTTTTTGTTTTTTTGTTGTTTTTTTTTTTTAGGTATACATGACAGAGTGTGGAGTGTGTATCTTAGGTAGGGTGTTTGGATGAGAAGTTGAGAGTAGCAAATATCCACAGGCCTTTGCGTTCCACAGATTTTCTAATGGCCTCTAATAACATGCTACTTGAAAAATATTAGTCAGAGGTAGAAACATCCTTTGTAGGAAATTTGAGTTCTGATGATTTTAATAAAATTAGAATTCTGGGTATCTGTATGTAGTATAAAACTTTGGTTAACATCATGCTTTTCATCTTTGACATTTTTCTTAATTGTATGGTTTTTTCTTACAGGAAACGTGTCCCTGATCATCATCCCTGTTAAGCATTCCCAAATGCTGTTGATCTCTGGACCAGTTCATAACAAAGTTCTATTCGAAAGATTTCAACCTTTAGAAGAAACCTGTGGAATCCATGGCTGGCTGTGCCCATAATATCCTTAAGTGTGGACATTAGCTGACCTTCTGTTTTAACGTGGGTCTAATTTATTTGCTGTTTCATTTTCCATACAATTCAGTTGATTTAAAAGTTCATTTCTCATAGCGTGCATTAAAATTTTGAACAATTACTTAGTTCTTATGTCTTATGATCTTTGTGTAACCTATTTGAAATATGCTTAATGGAAGTGAATGATTGCATTTTCAGTATAGAATTGATCCACTTAATGATTAACCTAGTGTGTATGAGGCCTTGGGTTTGATTCCTCAGTACCACAAAAACTAAAAAGACAAAACCCGAGATTGAATCCAGGAGTGTTTTACCACTAGGCTGCATCCCCAGTTCCTAGTTCTTTTTTATTTTCAGATAAGGTCTTGCCAAGTTGCTGAGTTTCATGATGAGTCGCTGAGATTGTCTTTGAACTTAGAATCTGCCTCTCAAATAGCTGGGACTGTAGGTGTTTGCCATTGTGCCTGGCTTTGAAACTTAATAGCAATTTTTACATTTTTAAATGCTTTGATGATTTTTGATTTCTAGAATAATGGAAAGGGCAGAGAATATTCACTTAAAATTTAAAAATGAACTCCTTAAGAACTAGGTGTGTTCTATACAGGTAAACCAGGAGAATTTGACACAATGTTGTGGTCATATTTTTTACATTAAGTACTATAGATATTATAGTTGAAAAATGTGTTGATGGTGGAGAATGTTCTATAGCCGTTTATACTTTTTCCTTTAAGCAAGGATTTATACTGATTTTAGGGTAAATTTAAGTGTTGTGCTTATTAGTAAAAGAATATGGTATGTAAACATTTACTGTCACATGCCAGGCACTGTTCTGTTCATTTTATACACAGTAATTGGTTTAATCCTTACAATGCCCTATTTGATAGAAACTAACTGTTTTTCTGATAAGGAAATGGGACAAAGGTGGTAACTGACCAGTAAGGGCAGAGCCTGGATTTGATCCCAGATGGTATGAAGGACCATGCTCACAGCTATGATGCTATACTGTTTCTGGATCACTCATGTGCTTTTAGTTAAGGTTGAGTTTAGTTGACTTTTTAAGCATAAAATTACAAATAGTGATGTTACATGACAGTATAAAATAAAAAAGGAAATTTGGTTGCTGACTCATTTCTGTGGGATTTATGTTAAAGGTTAGTTGATACCTCTCTTACAGAAGCTAAAATCCAATTATCAAGTTTTAAAAGAAAGCTAAGGTGTAGCTCAGTGGCAGAGCATTTGCATGGCATGTGTGAGACCCTGGATCTGTCCCCAGCACTGGGGAGAATATAGTTCTAAAACAAGTCTTTTCTTTCCTGGCGGGGGGTAGGTACCAGAGATTGAACTCTGGCACTCAACCACTGAGTTACATCCCCCAGCCATATTTTGTATTTTATTTAGACACAGTGTCTCACTGAGTTTCTTAGTACCTCACCATTGGTGAGGCTGGTTTTGAACTCAAGATCCTCCTGCCTCAGCCTCCCAAGCCCTTGGGATTACAGGCATGTGCCACTGTGCCCGGTGAAATTTTCATTTTAATAATAACATGAATACTAAGGAGTAAAAAAAGTTGTATTTGTTGCTGTAGTATTTTTCCATTACTTTACTATCTAATGATGTCAGCATCTCCAAGATAGCAGGGTTGTAGAAACACAAGTAGGCAGATGGGCATCGTGGTGCACGCTTGTAATCTGGAGGTTGAGGCAGGAGAATCACAAGTTGGAAGCCACCCTGAGCAATTTAGTGAGACCCTGTCTCAAAAAGGACTGCAGTGTAGCTCAGTGATACAAGAAATATTTCTGGCAAATGTGAGCCTTTCTTATTTCATTTTAGAACTAACCTTTACTGGTTTAATATCTAGTAACCCTGCCCCCAAACAAAGAGAAATGTATGTATGTATGTGTATTTATGTATATTTATATTTATACACACAGTTACATGCTTTATAAAATTGAAAAATCTACACTAAAAACATTTTTGAACAGCAAAATCACAACTATTAGTTTGATAAATATTTATTCATTGTATATTGTTTTAGAACAACAAAACACCTTGACCATAGGCCAAAATGTTTATAATTTTAACATTTTGACTCAGAATAGTAAGTTCATTCAGTGAGAACTTTATATGGATAATTGACTTCACTCAGTTTTATAACTGTGTAGCCTGCAGCTTACACTGGAAAATGTGGGCCTATTAAACTGGGGAGGAGAAAGACAATTCAAAACAAAGTCAGCACTAGGTGTGTTGGGGCATGCCTGTATCCCATCTGCTCAGGAGGTTCTCAAGTTTGATGCCAGCCTCAGCAACTTAGCAAGACCCTGTCTCAAAACAGAACTGGGGATGTGGCTCAGTGATTAAGTGCCCCTGGGTTCAATCCCTGTTATCCCCCCTCCCTCTCAAAAAAAAAAAAAAAAAACTAATCCATAAACTGGTACAAAGTTTAGAAGGTAAATTCTGTTGGGCAAATGTTTTTAACATCATTTGATTTTAATTATCAGGAATAAGAAAATAGGGAAATTATGTTTTAATAGAAATCTGGACTCATTACTAAAAACTTATATATAGTACAAATCTATTGTATTTAATGATTAAAAGGGTTCCTTGGATGACTGATCAGTGGGTTGCAGATGGTCTACAGATGGGAGGTGGTGACACGGTACTTTCTGTAGTAACAAGAAATATTTCTGGCAAATGTGAGTCTTATTTCATTTTAGAACTAACCTTTACTGGGTTAAGGTGCTTTTATGGGAAAAATACTTTTTTTTTTTTTTCCCTTAAACGCTCAATACATTGTGCTTCAGTTTAGATAACTGACCTAGTGTGCTGAAAAGTTTATTAAATCACCCACTGACAGCAATTTCTTTAAGTTTGTATATTCATGGGAAGGTCACAATTGAGATATTTAACAAAATAATGGCCAAAATACCTAGGTTTGTACAATGTTGAAAAACTATCTACAAAAATTAAACTGGAACTAAAGCAGATACACTGAGGATGAAGAGGCAGACTTCAGGGCTGGAGTTGTGGCTCAGCAGTAGAGCACTTGCCTAGCATGTGAGAGGCACTGTGTTCAATTTTCAGCGCTGCATATAAATAAATGAATAAAATAAAGGTCCACCAACATCTAGAATTTTTTAAAAAGAGGCAAACTTCCAATATATTCTACAGTCTGCAATTCAAATTTCAAAGTACTTAGTTCAAATGCCAGGTTTCTCACCTATTGCCTTTAACTTAATATGATTCTGAAGATGTGCTTTTTCTCCAGTGATGGGGGATTCCATTCAGCTCAGTTTCTTAGTGTAAATAAGCAGAAGGGCTTTGCTGGTGGTGGGGAGGGAAGTAGTGGGCAAAAAATTCGAGGTGTACCAGGCACTGTGGTGCATGTGTATAATACCAGGGGCTCAGGAGGCTGAGGCAGTAGGATCAGGAGTTCAAAGCCAGCCTCAACAACCGAAGGCACTAAGCAACTCACTGAGAACCCGGTCTCTAAATAAAATACAAAATACGGCTGTGGATGTGGCTCAGTTGTCCAGCACCCCCAAGTTCAATCCTCGGTACCAAAAAAAAAAAAAACAGTAACCCAAGGTGTGACTTCAGTGAGACTGCGTGGCAAAGGAAAGAGGTTCTATTTTGTAGGTGATATCTAAGCTCCCTAAACAGATGGTAGTAGACCTTGAGTTAAACCTTTGGGGAAAATGAGAAATCAGCATGAAACACAATAAGTTTAAAGTAACATCTGAATGAACCCCAAGAGAAATTCTCCATCTGAGATCTTTTTTTCAACAGGTGCTAAAATGGTGGGGGAAATGTTTTGTTTTGAGCCTCTGTAACAATAAACAACTTTTTTGTGTATGAATCTGCTAGATAAAAATGTCTTTTTTGGTGGCCTGAATTAGAAACAATACCTTGTTACAGTTCATTGTCATTCATAGTAAAGAAATATGTCCTGCCAGGGCTAGATCATCTGAACAGTTAGTGGGTTCTTTAACAAATACCTTATTTGAGGATTTCATGAGCCTCATCAGTCACTTTTCGAGTGTGAAAGAGGTAAATGTGAGCCTTTCTTGCTCAAAATAACTGCTTGGAGAAGCTTTTTTTTCTTGCAAAGAAGTTATGAGCACTCTGGGTTTCCAAGGAAACTGATAGCACACAATTTTTCTTTGGATGAGATGCTGTTGGTCAGATACTTCTTAGTGTTCCTTTATTGCTTTGCATCAACCCCTCAAATGACACAGAATAATCCCACTGTAATGAAGAAATCTTGAGAACATGCAGTTGGGTCCTTGACATTGATGGACTGCAGCTCCTTAAGAATTGGGAGAAAGAGAAGGACATAGGGCAGGGGCCAGTGGCTCCTGGCTTTCTTCCTTGGCCAATGCATAGCGCCTGGCTTTTCTGGGGTCAGGCTCTGGTGTTTCCTCTGCCCATCTTCCAACACGGCGCACACCCTTCCCTACCTTGGGCGCATTTCTGCAAGGATTATGGTCATAGATAACCAGCTTCAGACCTGACAAGTGGGCCAGACTGGGAAAGTAACGGATGCTGTTCCGGTCCACATCAATTATCTCCAGTAAAGGCATCTGAAGCAGCACAGCGGGGAATTCAGTCAACAGGTTTCCTGAGAGCCAGATGGTCCTTAGCTCGCCGAGGCGCTGGAGCTGGCCGGGTAGGAGACGCAGGGCATTGGAGCCTGCATGCAAAGTCTTAAGGAGACTCAGCTCACAGACCACGTCCGGCAGCTGGGTGAGGCAGTTAGCTTCGATCCAAAGGGTCCGGAGGTTCTGGAGCAGCCTCAGCTCATTAGGGAGGTTGCAGAGTTTGTTGTTGCCCAGGTAGAGGATGCAGAGCTGTTTTAAGGTACATACCACTTGAGGCAAAGCCTTGAAGTTGTTGAAATCCAAGGCTAAGATCTGCAGGTTCTGCAGCTGCTCCAGCTCTGGAGGCAGGCTATTGAGGTGGTTGTCACTGAGGTAGAGCTTGACCAGGTCTGTGAAGGAGCACACATGCACAGGGAAGCGGCGTAGCTGGCTCCCACTCAGATCCACCATCTTGTCCAGTGGCATCTCCTGGAGGTCTCCGACCACATAGTTCTGGCAACGGTCAGCAGGGATGAAGGCCACAAGGGCCTTGATGGTGTTCCCCATGTAGAGCCAGACGCATGGCGAACTTCTACACACAGACTCACCTGACAAGGCAGTTTGTTCTACTGACTGCTCTGGTTCTGTCCTGCCTTCCCTTTATTAGTGAGGATTGCATGACAAAAGCCAGTCACTTTGACAGAGAAAAGTGCTCCTGATAGCAACTTGAGTGTTGGGTGATAGACCTAACAGACTGGCAGAGTCTGGGAGGCCTTGTCTGACTCACATACTTGCCTTTAATCACTTAAACCTCAACCCATTTAAAGCTGAAAAGAACTGCTGTTTTTTTGTAATGCTAAAATACTGAGAGATTACATTAAGGGGCAAAAAAGGGGGGGGGAGTGGGGGAGACACATTACTACTCTACAGGTATAAATATAAACATCTGGCTCAGCGATAGTGCTCATCTAGCATGTGAGAGGAACCACATAAAAATAAATAAAACAAAATAAAGGTATCCAACTCAACTAAAAAATATTTTTAAAAAGATGATATATGCTTTTTTTTTTAAAAGAAAGAGATACAGCGAGAATTTTTTTTTTTTTTTTTAAGTTTTTCGGCAGACACAACACCCGTTTGTACATGGTGCTGAGGATCGAACCTGGGCCGCACGCATGCCAGGCGAGCGCGCCACCACTTGAGCCACATCCCCAGCCCCAGGATGTATGCTTTAAAGGTTTTTTTAATTGATATTCTTCTTATCCCCATCAAACCTGAATCAGGGTACATACCCAAGAAGCAGAGAGGGGCTGGAATTGTGGTAGAGCATTTGCATACCTAGCAAAAAAAAAAAAAGCAGTGGCTACAGGTGTTATTTTCTTATTTCATTCACCAGGTAATCTCTTTACACACTTAAAACTTGCCTTTGGGCTGAGGATGTCGCTTTGTGGAGAGTGTTTCCCTAGTGTGAGCAAGGTCCTGGATTCAATCCCCAACACTGTAAAACAAAACAAAATCCAATTTTCTTTTGAGAAAAGACAAGTAGAAAAGCAGAAGGCAGGGGTTAGGGTGGAGAATGCTTGCTTTCTAGAGCTTAAATAAATTGAGGATTCATTCGTATAGTGCAACTGTGTCACATATGTTTAAATTCCTATCTCATGTAGTGCCCTGTTGTAGGGAAGCAGTGATCAGTCAGAACATTTCTTCGTACTGGTCTAGAATGGGATTTTCAAATTCTGACCAGTAGAAATGTGGGCAGAAATGTTTGATGTCACCTCTAGACATGGCTCATTGTGAAAAAAAGTCTTGTCCTCCTCCACACTCTTTCCCCACTTTTTGGCTGGATATTGCTACCTGGGATAACTTCAGAAGCCACCAAGCATGTGTTGAATTGGCAGGGCCTCAGGTCATCCTGGATTCCTGAATAAGAGCAAGGTGCAGAACACCTCCCTTCCCCTGCCCGCCTTCACTTAGTCAGTCACTAATTGGATTTAGGTAAATGAGAAGGAAACTTAAGTCATTGAGATCTGGGGGCTTGTTTGTTACTGTACCTTAAGAATACAGTAGTTAAAAATAAGGAGGTAAATCTACATATCCTGATTTGGAAAGCTATTTAGGATAAAGTGGGGAGAAAAGAAAAGCAATATTCAGAACAGTTTTTTATGATTGCCATCTGTGAAAAATATGCATAAGTTCTTGTGTATGCATAAAAATATCTGCAAGAAATACAGTGATTATCTGTGGGAAATCTGCCTGGAGATTTGGTGGTGACAGGAATGCTGACTTTTCCACTTACACCCTTTGTGTGTGTGTGTGTATTGAACTCGGGCACTCGACCACTGAGCCACATCCCCAGCCCTATTTTGTATTTTATTTAGCATCTCACTTTCGCTGAGGCTGGCTTTGAACTCGCAATCTTCCTGCCTCAGCCTCTCAAGCTGCTGGTTATATAGGTGTGCACCTGACTCACTTGCACACTTTTGTACGGTTTGATTTAAATATATATAATGACACATATTATTTTAAATGTAGCTAGGTGCAGTGGCACTTGCCTGTAGTCCCAGTGACTCAGGAGACTGAGGTAGAAGGATCAAGGCCAGCCTTGGCAACTTAAATCATGTCTCAAAACAAAAAATATGAGGTCTGGGGGTGTAGCTCAGTGGTAGAGTGTTCCTGGTTCAATTCCCAGTACTGCTCATAAAAAAGTAAATGTCCAGGAAACAATCCAGCAGCCTGCCTACTGTCTGGAAAGAATGTCTGGACCTTAAGGGAAGACGGACGCACTGTTGAAGCTCTGCCAATGTCTTTATTATAACAAATTTAGCAGACATAGACAAGGAGCAGCCACATGAATGGTGTGGTTCTACAGAGCTACTTGGTGAAGCAGTGTCACTACCCACTTTCTGCTCACAAGACGAAGACCGAAACCCATGTTCTTGGGCTTTGTACAAGTTGAATGTCAAGGACTATTGAGCCCTCTCCTTGCTTTGCTAACTTGTATCATAATAACTAGCCTCTCAACAAGTACCATGCTTTGCCTCTATTTATAGCATGGTCCAGTGGCAACTACAAACAATCATGAAGCAGCTGCCCTATTTTCTCTAGAAATGATAATATTGCTAACAGCTGATTGAGCATCTGCTCAATGTTAAGCACTATGGCCATGTGCTGTAGGTATGTTATGTAAATTTAGGTATGTTATGTGAATTCTTATCACAGATAATGTTTTACCCAATTTTTCAGATGAGAAAATAGTGGCTCAGAGAGGTTTAGTTTACATCAAATAACTAACAATAGAACCCTGCTTTCACAGAACATCCAATTCTACCAGGGTGAGGGAAGTGGAGCTCTTTCTTGTTAGGTCACACCAGTTGACAGACTTTGCCTCCATACGTAGAACATTAATTCAGCACCTTAGTGCCAGTCCCTAGATAGCAGGTAGCTAGGGTTAAATGCTATGGTTTGGATGTGGTTTGTCCTCTCCAGGTTCATGTGCTGAAAATGGTCCCTAGTGTGACAGTGTTGAGGTGGAGAATCTTTAAGTGGGACATAGGGATCACTGGGGCTCCACCCTCATGAATGGATTAGTGGTGTCTCTTAGAAGCGAATCAGGTCTGCTAGGAGTAGATTAGTTAAACAGTTTTTATAAAACTCAATGGTCTCTTGTTACCTGGGCTTCCATGTTATTTCTCTTTCCGTCCCACCTGATGTGCTGCCACCTTGATATCATCCTTCAAGAGGTCCTCACCAGAGCTCACCATGCTCTTTAACCTCTAGAACTGGGAGCATGGTGAGCTCTGGTGAGGTTTACATAAATTTTTATTTTCTAGTGAGTTAGCTTTGAGGTGTGGTTTGCTTTTCCTTTAAGTTCATGGTGATGTAGAGAAGAATGCCCACAGGTTGTGTTGTGGTGTTGTACTTCCTGGGCCTTCTGGGAGAACAGTCCAGAAGCAACCCTGTCTCATCCAGACCATTTGACCATTTGTACCTTCTGGTTTTTAACCCAGACTCCGCTATCAAGGTGTTTGCTCAATTTTTGGTTTAGAACTAAGTGATGGATCTTCACATTTTTCGAGGTTCAGTTCTAGTGTTGTGGTTCTTAATTTCAGTGTAGCAGAAACTTTCATCCAAATCTGGGAAACCAGCTGAGCTTAGGTGCCATAGCTAGGGTCAATGCCCTAAGCTGCAGAATCAGAGCTGGTCCTATGAGAGTGTCATTGTCAGTGCCCTGGGCCCAACTCCTGCTGCTTCTGCCTTTCACTGTACCTCTCACTGATGCTGGCTGCCGCCCCTGAACCTAGGTGCTACCGCTGCCACAGCCAGCCCCTCTTCAGAATGGATTTTGCCTATGTCCTGCTTTTGCATCACCAACAGTTGAATCAGGAACCCACTGGGGCCCATTGGTTGCGTTTTTAGAATTGATAGCTAAAAAAAAAAAAAAAAGTGGATTTGTCTACCACCAAGATTTATATAGTGAGAAATTCTCCAGAGATGGAAGATGAGTTGTTTACTGTCAGCCAAAAAGAATCACGAGTGTCCTCCACCACTAACCTGCAGTCCTGTTCCCACTCCCTCTTATGGCTGTCTGACCTTGCACAGGTAATTTTTCTTTCTGGATCTATGGGACTATTGTGAACAGTTTATTAAAACAGAATTAATATGGGATGTATGATGAGTCCCAGAGCTGGGACATGACTGGTTTTCTAAACAATCATAAAGTATTAAAAGATCTTGAATGGAATTTTTATAATCTTAAGACTCTCTTCAAAAGAAACCAGTTACATTCAATGTGACAGCTATATCAGCAGTTGACAGTACTATTTAGGAAAAGGTATGTCAAATTAACCATTAGTAATAAACACTGAAGTGAAATGAAACCAGTTCATCAAAACAGACTTTTATGAGGTAGCATTTGGTTAACCTGGTTCCATGATTTTTAAAGGTAAAAAAGAAAATAATTTATTTTTACTATATTCTATAATTTAGATTTTTATGAATTCAGACTCTTACCATCATGTCTTCTTAACGAGGTGGCAGTATAATTTAGTGTTAAGAGCAAAGATGCAGTAAAATAACATTCTACAATTTGAAATGGGATTCTGCCACATATTTGTTTCAGGGTTTTGGATAAAGTTCCTTTACCTTGGGCTCCTCATCTTTAAAATGAGGATCATCTCAATCATCCGTCTCACTGAATTTCTTTGAGGATTAAATGAGATACTATACTTAATTAGAACAGTCTCAGAATTGCTAACTATGAGCTCTCGTTGTGCTTAAGGGCTATTTAACTTATGTTGGGTTCATTTAAGAGCCAGTGAGCTGGGAATCTGCTAGCCATTAGAAAACAGAACTGTGCAAGTGCCAGGATCAAACCACTCTCTGTGAATTGGAATAGAGCTGGAGTTTTATAAAATTTCATTGAGGTGGGGCATAAACACAGCCAGCACATAAGTTGGTGCTTGGCAAATGGCGAATTATTGGAAAGGGTGTATTACATTTTCAAAGAGAGGCACATGTATACTTATTAAGCTGAAATAACTTGGGATTTTTGTTTTGATAGTGCATTA